CGAGAGCCAGAACCACGCTTTCAACTACGCCGAGCCACTGCGCGTTGAGAGCTGCACGCAGGCGATATGTGATTTGGCGCTGAGGTTTGGTGAGGGTGCTGAGGGTGAGGAGAGCATCATGAGTCGGCCGTTTGGTGTCGCGCTGCTGATTGCGGGTTATGATGAGGATGGTCCGAGTCTGTATGTCACTCCCATTCCTTCCTTACCACCCGCCTCCGACAACATACAACGAACCTAGCTCTTGAATTACGAATTGAGGAAGCTAACAACCCCAGCTACCACGCCGAACCCTCGGGCACATTCTACCGCTACGACGCCAAAGCCATCGGCTCCGGCTCCGAGGGCGCGCAGGCCGAACTCCAGAACGAATTCCACAAGTCGCTTACGCTCCCCGAGGCCGAGGTGCTCACGCTCAAGACGCTCAAGCAGGTCATGGAGGAGAAGCTGGATAGCAAGAATGTGCAGTTGGCTAGTGTGACCAAGGACAAGGGCTTCAGGATCTACACTGATGAGGAGATGGCTGAGGTTGTTGGAAGGCTGCCGACGAACTAAGTGTTTGATGGGGGAATCAGAGGATGGTTGGGGAAAGTGGTATATGGGACGGCATATGATAGCATCTTGATAGATGTAAGAGTCACGCGAAAATGAAGCAATGACCAAATGTCTTGGAGCTCTGAATGGCGAATCGTCATGCGGATTGAACGAGCTGGTGATGAAGTCTGGCGTTTAATCTGGCCATTGATCGAGACAAGATCTCAGCATAATCCAGAGTGCATGCATCACTACATCACAGCCTTACAATCATCACTTCCAAACCCCATGCTAACAAAGACAAAAGCGGTCTATTTCCCTGTCTGCAAGGCCAATTGTCCCCATATTATACAGTCCAGTCAAGTCCATGCGCCGAACGCTCAGAAAGGGTTATCCTCAGGCGGTATCTCAACCGTGAAGAACTTGTCCAGGATAGGAATCTTCTTCATGATGTCGTCGCGCACCTTGGGGACTTCGGCGAAGAAGAAGAGGGCGAAGAAACCGGCTACACCGCCGAAGCCGGCGGCGAGGCCACCGCTGTGGATGGGGTTAGTGCGTGTTGGATGTATGGAGAGGTGGGTGGGTGGAGGAGAGGAGGAATGGGGGGAGACATACTATTTCGCGGCTTGCTTCAGGGTGAGGCCGTGGTAGTTCTTCGGGATGGTGTATCTGTGGTTGTGTGTTAGCGTCTGGAGCTTCGAGGTTTGCGATGGGCGTAAATCGGGTAGGGCGGCGCGGTGTGGGTTGGGTTGAGTTCTTCCTCCTCTTTTCCATGCGCATCTCGGGCGTATGCGTGGCATCCAATTGCCCATATCGCCGTCCATCGAGGCGTCGCAAGCCACCCTACTCTTCCCACATCTTCCCAACAACCCCAATCCAGTCCCAATCCGCCCGCCACCTATTCCGCGCCCATGTCGATATCGGAAAATACATACTGAGGACCGAAAGGACTCCTGTAAGCCTTGTACGGGCTGCGCATGCTCTATTCCCAATCATTAGCTTCTTCCTTCTTTCGTCATCGCCAAACCAAAAGCCGCCTCCAATTCCCCATTGCTCCGGAAATGACTTACGACAGCAGCAGGCGTCTTGCCGTGGTGGCCGAAGGATGAGACAGACATCTTGGGCGAGTTCGTTGGGGTATAAACGCGGGTGGAAGGGTGAAGTCTGGCGTGATGTCTGGTGAGGTTGTTGCGGCAGAGAAAGCGCGGGAATGCTGGGCTTGGCGGCGCTGGGAAAAGGATGGACGAATCAGGGAGCGCGGGATTTTGCGGGTGGGTGCGTCAGCAGGGTTGGGGAGGACACCAACAGCTCTCCACGCTTTGAGACACACAGCTATTTGTTTCTCTTGAAGATCTTAATGCCTTTCTGATGGCGAGTGGTCTGCGCGGTACTACTGCGAATTGCTCTGGTATCGCGGGACCCTTCACGACACTCACTGGCGGGTGAAAGAGGAAGTCGAAGGCTTTCCTTGTCCTAGTATTTCTCATCCACCAATCTTATTGACATCTCTAGAGATTAAGCTCAAGGTTATACAAGCTTTATTAGTATCCTGCTTGCGTCCAATATTTCATGGCCATTCCATCGGCGCCATTTCTTCCTCATTTGCAATGTCGCTTTCTCACTTTATTAGGCCCTGAGCTCCTTGAAACATTGACCTCGATGGCAGACGTAGAGAGCTACACCTCCAACTGGAAACCGAAGCAAGCGGATTCACTACCACTGGTGAATGGGTAAGGCTTGGCATCACGTCAACACCCAGCAAGAGCGTCTGCCTTGGCCGTTGGGTAGATTATATCACTACAGAGCTTTCGCATTCTCTACACTTTCTACCACTCTTCTTATTACACTTTCTTCGCCCTCAATCAACCAACAAGCGCCTCAACCGTGGACAAATTAGGTAGTCTTACCGTGTCATCTTTCCACCAACACATTTCGCCAACACCATGGCGACACAGAACGGCGATGAGAGCGATTCGTATGACGAATGTGAAGTGCAGCTAGAACGGTTCCCTCGGGCGTCCGAATGGTCGCACACACCCGCTACACGGGCCTTCCACCCCTTCTCCCGCCTTCCTGCAGAACTCCGCGCCAGAGTATGGGCTATCGCGGTACACGACCAGCTAGAAGACCTCGGCATCGCGCATATCGATCTCGAAAATCAAGCCAACATCCATGAGGAGAAAGGCAAAATTATCGCATACACGTTCCGTGGCTACCCTTCGCTCTTCTTCGTCAACCGTGAAGCCCGCTACGAAGCTGCCAAGGTTGACGGAGGTACGTGGTATCCACTGATGGCTGGTGTAGAGATCTACGCAAATCTTGACAAGGAAGAAGTCTTCATCTTCGATTGTTATAAAGGTCCAGGTCTAGAGCTCGCGATTCGTCGGTTTAATGGGGGGAACAAATTGGACTGCAATGGCCGTGGCGTTCATCCTTTAATGCATGTCCATGACTAAGGACAGCACCATGTTGTGGGAGAAAGGAAAGAAACAGGAGATATGGCAAGAGGACTCGGACGACTATTCGGTACGATCTCGTCAGCCTAGTTGTACCTCGATCGCGCGCGGGAGGACGTGTTACAGCCAGAGTGAGGAGATCCATCAACGCGGCCGATACGGTCGAGTATTTTGCCAAGCCTGCTGTTCGAATACGATACCGGTGTTGGAGACGGCGGTGGAACCCTGGGAAAGTATGTAACAAATCGACGATGACCAATATCTCATCATCAGGCAGCGTAATGGAAGCGTCTCCATCACACCTCGACCATACTCATGGATGCGTTCCTAGTGTTCTTTCAAAGCCTTCCAAATTGTTCTTCTTCTATTGCTCGCCCCCATTGTCATTCTTCCAAGTCCCCGCATAATGATGCGTCACCAGCTTCGGCGGCAAAAGTTCTTCTTCTTCCGGTTTATACGTATTCGCCGACGCTGCAAACGACCGACCCGGCATGACCAAGACATCGCCCACCAGCTTCGGCTGCACAAGCTCCATCATATCGCGCGCGTCAACCTCCCTATCAAGTATCTTCCCCAAGCTCGTATAAACACTGCGCGTCAAGCGCCGGGGACCCGTAAAATCAACAACATCCCCCATGACATCCATTGTCGCGTTCTGGATCGGGATGTTGTGCTCCGCCGTCTTGTCTCGCAGTGTTTGAAGGATGTCGTCGATGACCTGCATCATGTGTGGCGATCGTGGTTTGGCCATTATCGTCCAGCTGGCGAATTCGCGGACATACTCGCCGGGCCAGCCTTGATCGAACTCCCATCCTACGACTAGCGAAGCGATGCCCTGGTATGCGGCTGGCACCCATTCGTCCATGGATATGCCTTCTTCGCAGGAGACGTCTAGGTCGGACCAGATTCCGCCTTCATTCCATAGCAAGACATAGCGCAGCATGTCTGCTTTGTAGATAGGGACGGGTAGAGCGAGGTATGCGTCGACGATATCCGGTCGGGATTCCGCGAAGGTCTTACGAACATATTCATCGCCGTCGTCGTCCGTCAAGAAGTGTGCTTGGTAGTCAGGATTGCTATTCACACAGCTATCGGTCCAAGCTCGCGTCTCTTCAGAAAGGCCATTAGGGCCCAACTTGTACCAAATGCGTTTAGGAAATCCGCCGTTTTGCGGTGGTGGCTGCGCTATCGCGGGCGTACCCGGTGCACGGACAGTGAAGTGGTCTTGTATGGAGAGAAAGTGGTAAACCAACGCTAATGTGCATAGCGCGATCAATGTGTAATGATTGAAGACTTTGGGTAGCGACAGTGACATGGTGGGAAAGGCCAACAAAAGGGGAAAGATAAAGAGGAGGGCACGAGATCGCAAAGCGCCACGGAGGGGCGATCCTTATACAAATGGTGGGCGAACGCCGCAGTGAGACCGGTACCTGCAGCTCACAGACTTTAGGGGCGGTTAAACTTCTAATTATTCACGGAGCGCTGGGTGTGGCGCTTAACTTTCTGTTATCACATCTCGCTTGATGTGGCACGGTAGTGCTGATACATGGGTCTGTTGGGGTTGATGATCTAAGATCACGGCTAATGTTGGGGACCCTTTCAACTGTTGGACCCCCGTGCGAACATCTCTCCGCCCCGGAACACGCTCACTTGTACTTCTCGTATTCATACTCTGGTATTTCATGGCTTGCTTCAGTTATCATGCCGGCTGCATCATGTCGACCCTAGGCTGACACCAAAACCGATGAGTACAAAGAAGTTTCATCACGAGGGGCGCATCGTGGCAAGGCGCTGTTGCACCCTACGCCTCTCGCTGCTGGAACAAGAGGAATGAGAGGAGCAGAGTCTAAGCCATGATACTACATGCGATTGCTTCGCACAGTTGCCAGCTCCTGATCTCGTTCAGCGTGTGTTTCTTGTCACTCGCTGTTTACCATCACTCGTTTCACTAATCATCGCTACTGGACTATCAAACTCGCAATCTTCCAGTCTCCAGAGACGAATCAACCCGTCATGGCTACGCTAGCATTCTACGCTTTACTAGCCATACTATCCCCACTTGTATCCAGTCTCGGCATCCAATTCATCAACCCCCCAACCCACGGCACAGACGGCGGCCTCAGCAACCCCCCAACCTACAAGCAAGACTACACCATAAACATCCAATGGTATCCCGGCGACGAAACCGGGCCCTACGACCTGGTCTTGCACCAAGTCAAAACCCTCGGCCAAGACCAGACCGGCGACGGCGAGTTCGTCATGCGTAAGTTCATCCATGCGTAGGAAGAGCCGCTCCGTTCCGTAGCTTCCAAGGTTATTTACAGAAAGAAAAGCTAACATGTGAACACCAGCGAGTATCGTGAATAGAACGAGTTACCTATGGAACGTTAAGACGAATGCGAGGCTGGAAGAATCGACGCTGTTTTTCTTGAGTGTTTTTTCGGTGGATGGGGATTCCGATACTAGTCAGTATTTTAATATTGTGGATGGGTTTATCGCGGGGAGTGGTGCGGAGTCTGAGGCGGTGGGTTCGACTACTACGCCGACGCGGTCGTTTTGGTCACCAGAAGGATTGTCAACTGCAGCTTCAGCGTCGGCTTCAACGTCGGCCTCGAGAGTATCCGGCACGCCAGGTACGGAATCGGGTACAGGTTCAGCGAGCACACCAACAAGCTCTACCACAAACACTCCAACAAGCACCATCGCAGATCCATCGAACCCTCACGACCAAAATGTCCACCAGCACATGCACAACGACCTCCAACTAAGCCACAAAATCGGTCTCGGCATAGCTATACCCGCTACGCTTGCCCTTGGAATAGCAGCAGGCTGGCTACTCTTTCGCCGTCTCCAGAAAAAGAGAAGAAGAATATCACACGAGATCCTCGCTACGGAAACTGTACAGTATGATCCCGACAGAGATGGCGATCGTACTGACGATGGCGTCTACGAGGCGCCGTCGAATCAAGTACTGGAGATGGGTCAGCCGCATGGGAAGGGGTTTGAGCAGTTGGGAGGGGAGCCGGAAGATAAGCCTGCGATTTTGCCTGAGGTTTTAGGTTTGAGATACGAGATGGACGGAAATACTGTTCATGAGCTTCATGATCAGCCGGTCAAAGCAGATGAGCCTGTGGTCAAGACAGGGGATTGATGTGGCAATGTCACTTGTAGATATTCATGTAGGAGAATGTGGACGTGATCTTGAATGTTGCAGTAGTATCATTACTAAAACCAACCATAAACGTAAACATAACCCAACATACACGAGGAGCTCTTCCCATGCAAAAACGCCCAAACACCTATCTACCCATCCACATCCATCAATCACCCCACTCCTACGCACCAATAGCCTGAGGATTCCAGAACACACTCTTCGGATCAACCTTTTGTTTCAACGCAGCCAACCTATTGTACACCGCATCGCCATAGTAAAGCTTATGCGCCGTCGCAGCATCATAGCTAGGATCAACATAGTTCAAATACGCGCCAAACGACGTCTGCGGCTGCGCATCGATAATAGCACTATTAATGCCATTAATAAACTCCATGGAATCACCCCCATAGCCATAATTCTGCAACACCCACAGACTATCCCTGTCGCTGTAGGCAGCGAAATCAGTGTCTTTGCTGTTGATAGCGGAGCCGGGGCCGCCGTAGAGGTTGATGATGATGTAGTATTCCGTCCCATCGGCTGTCTGTAGGTAATCGTACAGCGCATCCAGAGCGTTGGAAGTAAGACCGGTAGACTCAGGGACGGTGACGGACTTGGCGAAGAAGTCCTCGTGCTCGTCGTACCCAGTCAGAGGCTCTTTTATGCTGGTCTTGCCGGATACTTTGACCATGTAGTCGTACCAGGCCATGGACTGGACGGTGGCGCTGGGGTTGGGGAGACTGCGGAGCAGCTCGGGCTTGACTTGGCTGTTGAAGTCTGAGACGCTGCCGAAGAAGGCGCCGCTGAGGCTGTAGCCGCCGTAGTTGTCGAGGTAGATGCCGAAGGAGACGCGGTTGTCGACGACGGACGCGTTCTTCGCGACGTCCTGAATGTGCATGAAGGTGTTTGTCCACACGCTCTTGGAGTCGTGGATGCCGGTGAAGCCGAACTCGAAGTACGTGATGCTGGCGGGTGCGGCGTGGGTCTGGAGGTAGAACTTTGTGACGACACCGAAGGACTCGGCTGCGCCCTTGATGGCCCAGAAGATGTCGGGGGACTCCGTGGATGAGGCCTTGATGAGAGATCCATCGGCGAGGACGACGTCCGCTCCGACAACTTGATCCATGGCTAATCCCCAGTGGCGAGAAGTGTGGCCGTAGCCGCCGTGTGTGTAGTGGCCTCCGATACCGACACCGGGGCAGGTACCCTGGGCTACGGCAGCATTGCCTTGGGTGTAGATACCGTCACCCAGGTTGCCCAAACGGACACCTCCTCCGACTGTCGCAATACCAGAGCTCTTGTCGAGTTGGATGGTCTGGAAAGACTGGAGGTTGATTTGCATGGCGCCATCCTTGCCACCAGAGCTGAAGCTTGCGTAAGAGTGACCGCCTGACTTGGCCTGGACCTTGAGACCAGCTTGAGCGGCGCACACTACAGCATCCTGAACGTGCTGGTTGGTGGTAGGAAGAACGATGACAGCCGGCTTGAAAGGAACGCGCAGATTGTAGGGCTCCGAAAGCTCAGAGTACTCAGCATCCGAGGTCATCTTGTAGGGCACATCTTTTCCGTTCAAGCATTGAAGAGCAGATCCAGATGGGGTTGACGATGGTGCAGCTGAAGAAGACTTGCTGGTAGTAGATCCCGATCCGGTGTTGCTGCCACAGTTTCCGAAGCCTGCCTGGCATCCAGTTCCACACTGTCATAATCAGTATATAGTCATTCAAAGCCTGGGTGTGTACTCACGTATGCCGATGTCGAACCACACCATCCACTCGCACTGCAACAGTTGCCTTCAGCGAAACCCAGACATGTGTAACCCTTTGTGCCACCACATGTCGCGTCTGGTGAGACCTTCTTAGTCGGTGTTGACGCCGGCGGTGGGGCCTGTGTCGACGAAGTCTTGACCGTTACTGGAGTTGCCTTTGACGTAGTGCTACCAGTGCATGTGCCGAACGCTGAGTTGCAGGTAGCTCCGCAATGATCCGCGGATTTTCCGCACCATCCATACTGTGAGCAGCAGTCACCGTACGAAGAACCCTTGCAAGTGAAGCCGTTTGTTCCTCCGCAGCTTCCGTCGGTGGAAACAGCCCTCTTGTTCAGCGGCGCAGCTGGCGAGGCGGATGCCAAACCAATAGACAGGAGACCTGCCGTAAGAGAAACGAGGAACTTCATCGCGACGTTGATGATAATGATCCGAGTTCAGTCGACGAAGTTAACCAGGAAAGAGCGTATGTAGTATACCCGAAACCACGGTAAGAAGAAGGACCAAACGAACGGACCGACAAGGTAAGCTTACCCTAATAAACGAGCGTGGAAAAGCAAAGACCAAGACCAAGGCCTGTAGAGTAGAGTAAAGTGAGCCCTATACACAAGGGCAAATCACCTCTTAAGACCACAACCAATACGAGAACATTTGCCTCCTTCGCTGCACATCCTCCCGTACCTGCAGCAGCCGCACGGCCTTAACACCACTAACACGACCTCGCAACGCTCCACTCAACACGAACGAAAACTCATTCTACGCTTTAAGATCCACTTCGACAGCGTACCCTGGTGTCGATCTTAGGACAGTTGTGTGCCCGGTCGGTCCTAATACGAGCTTACTACGCAGAGGCCTGAACGGCGGGCGCTCGTGACGAAAAGCAATTTCGCCGCTCAACGGGTCCTCGGATTTCGTACGAGAGGCATGTGCGCGGTAGTGTGGCATCGCGGAAACCTGCAACAATGGGAAAGTTAATGGGATTGCGCAGTAAAGGAAGAGACGGTTGCGTCAGTCGCGTTGGAAGGGGTATCCCATCTCTGAAGCTCCGGTCAGACCGCATAAGGAAATGACGTCTGTGTCCCCTGTCACCACCCTCGCGCAGCGCCGCGCATCTCCATCCCTCGCCCCAAAACACATAACTAATCCACCGACACTTCCCATCGTATTTCCGGCAACACCTTGCGATCAGGCCTTCCAAAGCATGACTTTCGTGTTATTGCGGTGGGGTAGCAGTAAGCTCTTTGTGGGTTACCGTTGCGGCCCTAACGGCTGGAAGCGACGCTGGGCGGCCCTGCGCGCATGCTATTTTTGGCAGTAAGAGATCTGAGTAAGGGAGATGCGGCATGCGAGGAATACGGAGCTTGCATGGCTTTGACAACATTGCGATGGGGTGGGAGGGGCTTGGCGATGCGTTTTGGGGGATATGTATGGCCGGGGGTTTCTACACGGATGAGATTGATGGTGGGTTTGGCTTTGGTGTTAGAGACGGGATTTTGGGTGATGGGGTTGTGCATGCTGGGCAGCTAAAAAGATGATGCCAGGCCCGCTGATTTGAAGTGTCTGGACTTTTCAAATAGAGAATTGAGTTTGGTAAGCTTCCATTCAGATCTGTACCCTTCATTAAGAATGCAGACGGAACCAGATAAATAATCATTTCCACGCACGACTTCTCCCACCCACACGACATCGCCGTCGGGTACCGCCAGCTCATCTTCAAAACCTCTGTAGAATACTTTCCGCGGGGGAGAGATTTCGACTGCGGAAATAAAGGCGATAGAGTAGGGTTAGCAGCGGCGGCAGCTGGCAATGTCGAGCTGGTGAGGTACTGTCTGGAGGAGCTGGGGCGTGTAGCTGATGAGGGAAGGTAGCTTGGCGTTCCGATTCTGGATCTGATAGAGAGGGGAGCTTGTAGAGTGCTGGAGGAGAAAGAAGAGGTGCGCCGGTTGTTCAAGGCGCATGGGTCGATGGCGAAGGGGACGTTTGACAAGGTGGAGAGAGAGGAGGATGTGGAGGGGGGAGAAGGGCGTGAAGAGGGAAGAGAGGGTGGGATTGTGGAGTCAGATTGCGAGGTTGTTCACGCGCAAGAAGAGGACTAAACAAGAGAAGAGTCAAGAGAGGAGTCTCATTGCCGCGGAAAGTCAGGACTATCTTGCTCCTTCGAAGGAGAAGAAATCCATGCATGCCCGTGTATACTACTAGAACCACCACATATCCAGCACTACCTGAACCCTCGCCCCGTCGCAACAGAGCCCACATCATTCTCAGCATCCCACCCATTCAGAAACTTGTGTGTTGTCCACATATACCGCTGGTGCGCCATTTCCGCCCCGGTCTCTGTCGTGAACCGCTCGACGTACTGCCCGCCGTGCATATGCCGCAGACAGCTGACATCGAAACCAACCCCAGGCTCCCTGTATCCTTCATCCATACCATGGAAATAGAAATATCGAGCCACGCCCACAGCGCCCAGTCGTTGGAGGTGATATGCATCACGTAAGACGCGGTGGATGGGCTGCCCGTGAGAGAAGTTGGTGACGGTGAACCCTTGCTCATCAAGCTGAATAGCACCCGAGAGGCGGGCAGCGAGACAAGATGCCTGCCAAATGATGTTGGGCGGGCATCCCGCTGCCCTCAAGAACTCGCGTACGATTTGCCATTGATTCCGCTTCTCGTCTGAGGAGAGATACCATGCGTCACTCATGTCGTGGGTGATGTCGTGCGTCATGCATAATACCCACAGGAGTGTGGAATCAATGTCCCGAGCCCATTGATGCGTCCTCTGTTCTTTCCGCAGAATCCACTCGGCGTCGGCGACGACACGCAGGGTGTGTTGGTAGTCGTGCAAAACGAGACGCGGGGTGCAGTCGGGATGTGACAGGTAGACTCTGTTCCTCTGGGTACGGACGGCGACGTTGAGGGCCGTGAACCATGCGAAGTCTGCGTCTTTGATTTCGAGGCACTTCGCGCTGAGGAACGGAAGTGGCTTTCTGAACGGAAGTGTCTTGGTGAACGGGTTGAATGCGTAACCATCAAGTGCTTTGTTGGATGTACTGAAGTTGCGATACCGAGGGCCTCCACCGTGGGCGCCAGTGTTAACTTTCGCGCCAGGCCTTGTTAGAAGACCATTGGAAGCGCTTGAAAGTTTTCTGGTTGTGACACTGGCGAAGCGGCGGGACGCAACATTGCTGAGCGACCTCATGTTGAGATTGAAGCTGAAGAAGCTGGTGTGGAATAGCAGGGTTGATGAGGCAGTCGTTGCGTACGACAACGGGGAAGTCGCGCTGAAGGCAAAGGCGTGATCGGAAACAGCGTAGAGGCCTTGCGCTAGTCCATTCGCAGTTCCCCAGTCAAGATGCGAGTGAAGACTAGATCAGAGTGACGCGTTCACCTGTCCCCGTTTCTTCCGCATCCCTCGGTTGCAAGTGTCGATATCATCAACTGCCCGCTGTCTTACTCTTATCGACAACCTCGACCTTGTCCTCTACTTCTTCCCCCTGTGCAATTCCACTTTCCCCCTCTTCACCCTCCTTCTCCCCAGCAAGCGCCCTATACTTCCGCCTAGCCTTCTTCCCACTACTCGCCTTCTTCTTCGCCTTCTCCCTCGCCTTCACCTTCGTCCGCGCCCCCTCCCCCAACTCCATCTCCTCAATCCTTTCCTGCAGAATCCGCCTCGCCATCTTCCGGTTTATCTCTCTTGACCGCGTGTCCTGGTATTTCACTACGATACCAGTGGGAATGTGTTTGAGCTGGACGGCGGAGGAGGTTTTGTTGATCTTTTGCCCACCTGGGCCGGAGCCTTTGAGGAAGTTCTCGATTAGATCCGCGTCGAGGAGGGGGGTGCGGGGTGGGAGCGATTTGCCATTGTTGAGGGGTGGAGAGGTGGAGAGGTGCGCGGTGCGGATAAGTGGGACATTGGGGCGGAAGCGGAGGGCGGGGAGGAGGCGCATTGTTGGGTGTGTGTTAGGGAGGGAGACGGCACGGCGGAGGCATTGCAACAGCATTGGCATCGCTGGTCCTGTGTGGAAACTTCTCGCACGCGTGTTCGTTGATGATGCCATGCAGCTCACGCGCTAGACCACCCGCTCCCGATCTTAATCAGGCAATCGCACCATCCCTGCTCCGAATCCGCGTCCCTGAACCCTTCAATCTCCCCCATCATCCACCGCTCCTAACATTTGCGCCCAGACACATTAACCCTCCAATCCCACTTCCAAACCCGCCTTTTCGCACGCGCAACTACGACGACACATACCGAAAAGTCTATGATTGACACGACGACGCTATCCGCCATCCTCCTCCTAGCCAGCGCATCCACGCTCCTCATCGCCGCAATGCTGTACCCATCCGCCCTCCTCCGCTGGTTCCAGCGCAAGCGCTATCAATATGAAGTCACCTTCTCGCTGTACATGTTGACGTCGACTGAGAAATTCATTTTCAGTATGTCATGAATCCCCTGTCCTACCGCATCAAACCGCATTCTCAACTCGATTCTTGGAGACGAGCCACCGCCCCTATCCGGGTCGCTCTCCTCACACACCGACCTTTGGTACTACTTTAGGACAGTTGCTAACGATGTGGTTTTTGCAGACTCCGTACTCTTCCTCCTCCTCTCCCTCCTCATAATCGCCGCGTCGCTGTACCTCCCCGAGCATTTGACGATCATCGCAAACCGCATGTTCTACTACCTATCCGGCAACCACGATTCGCTTTCGAGTAACTCAGTACCTAAAACCGGGGGTATGGACACAGGGGTCACGCCGAATGGGCCGCTGGGTGCGGGTGCGGGTGCTATGAACAATGGGCGGGGGATGATGGAGTTATAGGGATACGCACGAAATGGATTAGAAAGGATACGCTGGAGATGATGGGGTCTGGTGAGGGGCGTCGAAGCTCTGCTTTGACTGGATGCCCTGGGAACATGGCCGCGTATTGGAGGGCAGGAAGGCTTCGGCTTGTTGCGCCCCGACGGAGTCAGGCTTCTACCGCCTACCCTCAGACGACAGTACGGACTCCAGGCACACAACAGTCCCAAACACATGCATAAGGCAAGGCGCAGGAAGGAGTTCCATTCGCCAATTCAGGCAGACCTATTCCCCAACGACTATAGACGTACAATAACCTCAGTAATGTTAATACCAAACCACCACACTGCTCTCTCTCCCACACACACTCTCTCTCTACGCCCCACAGACACATCGCATATATCTCGAGTAACCCTTCCAAGAGCATGCACACAGCACGTCACATCGAGCAAACACATCTCGACCCTAGCCAGCACCTCACGTGAACGTCGCAGCATGCGCTGTGACATACTTCGTATATGCATCATGCATGCCCGCCAGCATCTGTCACATTCCAACTGCATGATACATGGGCGGCTATGCTCGACGCCGAGATCGGACGACTTGTCTGTATGTTTACGCGCGCTCTGCGATGTGACGTGATGTGGCTCACGTACCGTAGTGGTAGACTCCCGACACTTTGGAATTGAGTGAATCATGAGTATTCATACACAGAATGTAGAGCTCTATTCCCTATTAGAGCACCACCATGGCTCATGATCCATACCCATTTCCATATCCGAAACCAACCCCTCAGCCCCCAGACTCTCCAACCAAGCATTCATACACTCCCTCAACTTAATCTTCATCTCCGCCTCATCGCCCACACCAGCCGACTCCGGCGGTGCGTCCTCCAGGCCATCATCAGCTCGATTGAGGAATGCAGGCCAAAAGTGTTTGTTCGCTCCCGCAACAGCACGATATAGCGTTCTGGCCTGGTTTTCCACCGACTGGATAAGCGGTATCCATTCTTCTTTCACGCGACTGTCGACGATGGATAGTATGATGGCACTTTTGCTATCTTTCACCTCGGTGGAGGTTTTACCGTGTTTCTGGAATTTCATCTCGTAGACCATGCGGAGTTTGACTAGTAAGATGGCGAGGAGAAACGTGAACGACTCGGATGCAGGAGCCGTGGATCCGGGTTCTCTAATCCGCTCAAAGACTTCGAGGGATTCGAACGCGTCTTCGCCGACAAGAGGTAAGGTTTCGGAGGTCCAGTCGTGTTCTTCGGAGGTCCCTTTTGTGACCCACCATTTGCAGAAGTCGTAACAGTCTTGGTCGCGTTTTAGGCGGAGGAGCAGCCAGGGTACTAGACAACGCATTTGTAGATGATCCGCAGAATCCAGTTGTAAAAGGGCAAAGGCTTCGTCTAACGCTTGCTGCACCGCTGCTGTAGTATTGACACTATAAAGCTCATACAGCAGATCCCTCCTCCGGTACATATACTCCCTCGTCGCTTCATACTCCCAAAACCTGCCACCCGCAGTCCTAAACGGGTCTTTAGGCGTACCCGCATCTCCCGAATTCCGTTTCAGCGCGTCCTCAGAACCAGCGATGAGGCCGTGAAGTTCTTGGAGTCTGTCGCAGAGTGTCTGGTGCGTTTTCTTGTTGAGGGCTTGATGTTCGGAGCTGCAGTAAAACATGGCATTGCAGTCGCTGCATATAATGAGGTTCTTCTTTTCGGGACAGATTCTGCATCGTCCCATGAGACCGTAGGACTTTTCGTAGGGCAATGGTTTGTAGTGTTCGATCACGTGGTGCGTACGCGGTGGCGCGGGATCGGGGTTGGACGCTTTGCGCTTGCGTGGTTTTTGAGCTGTGTTGTGTTCGTCCATTTTTGCTCGGTCTGGAAGGTGCTAAACTAATGATTGCGAGTGTTGAAGTGCTGATGCGGATGAGATGCGTTGATATGAAATACTGTGAGCGTGCCCAGGTGGCGTTGCTAAAATAGTAGCGGTCGATCGAGAAAAACGAAGTCGCACGCGCGACAACAATTGGCCGAAATCATCAGAACCACACTTAGAAGAGGTTCAGAATATACTTGGGTCATGTTTGAAATTTTATAGGCGCTGCGCGTGTCGTGAGGTTACGAGTTTTGACATTGAGGCGCCATGAACATCAGACCGGACACTAGACTGATATTCCAACTTGTTTGACATCTTTGGTCTATATGATTGGTGTGTATCAGGCCGTACCCTTCAAGTTGATGACGGTAGCGAACATCAGATCCCTAATCCCACCCAAGCCCCTCTCAGTGAGCCATTGCAGCACCATAACCTTATACCCATCTGCGCCCTCCCAATCAACGCTCACACCACCCTTGCTCTTGAGCACCTCCAGACTCTTCTCACTAACAGGCCCGTCGTGATACCGCGTCACATTCCGCTCACCCGCTTTCCCAACCTCCCTTTTCTCGACCGCACGCCACGCCGCAGCAGACAGCGAGGCCAACCACGCGTTATACGACAACGTAAACGCAACCCCAATAGTGTATCCACGATCAACTCTGCGTAGATACTCGTTAAGTGTACCCCTTAGTATCGTATCGCAATACAACCCCTTGCTCTTCTGATCTTGAACGAGAAGACCACGAGACACCCACACCAGATTGTACATGTCGCGCAGACACCAGTTGAATGCATCGGTGACTTCTGCGGGGTAGTATGTTTTGACCGGCTTGGGATGCGCATCGAACGCTAGCTTGTAGGAGCCGATGATGCCGCAGATGCGGGCAAGTGTTGTTGGGGAAGCGTCCTGGGAGAGGAGGTAGACGAGATGCATTGGCGGGAGATGGATGGGGATGACGTGTGGTTTCGAGGAGGTGCTGAGGAGTTCGTAGAACGAGAGGATGAATGATGTGAGGGTGGTGCTGGAACCTGGGGGGATGGAGACGAGAGCCGAAGTGAATAAGGTGGCTACATGCTCGACTAGGTCGCTCAGTACTTCCTGTTTCGTCTCTCTTTGATCGGCAGGTCCAGATGCTGTTTGGGTCATTTGGTGCTGCAGTAAAGCCGTGTAGAAATCGACGAGCTTCGCATACGCAGTGATGCCATGAGGTGCTAGAGCTCGTTCGACAGAAAATAGATAGGTCGTATGGGCGTCATCGAACAGTTCGATCGGAACATAAGAGACGAGGCTTAATAAAGAGTCAAGGTCTTGCTGACCGTCCCATATCGGTAGGTACGCGCGAAGGAACCTCAATACTGTAGGATGCAGTGACTTTGATCGATCAGCTGGCTGCACGTGAAACATGCTAACGCACTTACCTTAGTGTACTGGGCGTACCTGAGAAGTCCATCGAGGATTTCAGATAGGTACTTGTCGTTCGCAGCACCTTGTCGGCACTCGTCGAACTGCTCTTCCAGGCACGTCGCAAGCCAATTTCCTAATCGACTGGCTGTGATTGATGATGGCTTCAGATCGATGTACTTCTGTAGCAACGGGTCCACGAGGAGCGCTACCAGCTGGCCCGGTGGCTCTATCCTGTCGAGCTTCTCCACAAAATCGTCCACGCTATCAATGCCCTCAAGGGTTGCTGAGCTCTGTCACACAGCGTTAGTACGTGCTCGAATAATGAACAGAGATGTTTGCCCACCTCGGTCGCATGGTAGGTATGCACGTCCGGAATCGCCGATCCTTTGCTGCCCTTGAGTCTTCTTCGTAGCACCTTGAAACCGTTCTGCCCGTCTACATTCGAGTCGTCTTCCGCCACACTAGCCTCTTGGATGGCAACGATCTTGGCTTGCCATTCGGCATCAGGTCGCTATCGAGTTAGCTTTCATCCGGCAGTGCCACAAGGAGATGCGGGGAAGTAGCGTGGGGGATCTGAGGTTGCATTTGTGGTGGTACGAGAGACGGATACTCACCGGAGCGAACGACTTCCGGCTTGTGGAAGTGCTTCCGAGTATTATATCGGGATAGTAATCCTTGTAGACACGGAGGAGACCCTGGAGCGCAGGCTCGTTGCCGAGACCGCGAGACAGCTCTAGTCTGGGGTAAGATCAGTTATCGGTATCTGGTCGTATCGATGCTGCAAGCTGTGTACATACAGCTGTTGAATCCGGAATGGTTTAACGTGTTTCCTGCGGGTGATCAAGGACAGCAGATGGCACAAAGATGTCCTGCTAAATTTAGCACTTATGTTCTTGGTGACAGGCCGAAGTGACACACCTGATACTGATCATGTCGAGCATGCCAAACAGCACACCATATAGTCGGGACAGGACGCTCGAATTTTCCACGACCTCATGGATCGCGATGAGCCATTTCACAAGACTGTCTTGTGTACCGGGCGAAGGCTTGCCCTTGCCCTGCCCAAGCGCACCAACAATAGTAATAACAACATCGCCTGGAACCTTTTGAGACGGGTACAAGTTCTTTATCAAGGTCGTGATGGTGGTTTGGTCTAGCAGGGTCTTCACCGACGCAAGCTGCACTATGTCTCGCAGCGCATCCTGGTCAAGACCATCTTCCGAGGCGTAACGGCAGATGACATCGACTATGCTGGAGACTTTGACGGTCCGTTGCTTTGCTGTTGTTCTAGATGCTGCAAGCCGGTGTAAGCACTGATCCTGACCGGGCTCGTTGCCGCATATCGACACCTACCTTGATGCAGTAAGTTTAGCGTCTCCTGCAGCGTGGGCCGCTCTTCTGCTGAGTCCATCAGTAGCTGGCTTGGAGCGAAGTCGATGTGGGGTTACCGGCGACCGATGGCATCACACTGCCAATGCAACGCGCATACAGTAAGACTGCTGTCAGCTGTTGTTGTATGAACCGTTGATGGTGCAGACGCGTCGCGATGGTGGTTGTTGACAGCCTGATCGCGCCTTCCCCGTTTCGATGGGCTACGACCAAGCGAGGAGCCCCGCTAACACATCGCGCTCGACACACCCTTTCCACAGTTCTCTCTGCTCGCACCAGATTGCTTCAACGATGCCATCAATATATCACCAGCCTCGACATCATCGCCAATATTCATGTGTGGGCACACAGCATCGCGGCTGCCGGTCTGGCCATCCGCGGCTCGTTCACGCTACTCGTGCTTGATTCAATCAATCGTGCAGATGTCACCCGCATGGCCGTGTCATCACTGGAGCATGCATCGCAGCTCTCGCCATCGCCACATCGAGGTCAACCCTTTGTGTTACACAGCAAGCATCGAAATGTAATGATTGCGGCTTGCGCAACTGCTACTGGCCCACAATGGACGGTGGCCTTGCGGGTCAGCCATCAACTCAAGCACGCCTCCTGCAACCTTGACTCGAATTGTACTGACCCCCGCGCGTTGTACGCCTTGCCCGCTATGACAAGCACGCGTCGGGTATCGACCTTCATTATCAACCTGGCTGTTGGTCCTTGCTTTGGAATGAGTGGCCGGCTTTCCTTGGATCATCATTCTCTATCAGGACGGCCGACGGGCCTCTAGGACTGCCCTTCATCTACAGTAGGCTGACACGCGCATCCCAAGGCCTACAAGGTGATCAATGTGGAGCCTTGGATCTGCGATTGGATGTGGCGTCATCTATTCTCGATACACGATCCTGCTGCTACCCGATGCAACCGTCGCCGTGCACTTATACGCCCGTTGTGCTCCTTACTGACATGCGCGAGCACGCTACGGCAACGCTTCTGTCGTGTCAGTCATGGCTACGAACGGGAAAACGTCATCCAATCGGTAAGATCTCCGCCCACTACGGTAGGGGATGCACTTCTTTATCTGCACCGGAGAGTGCCTGGCCGCGGTCATGTACTACTTTCTTCGTTCTTTATCTGGTACCACCCCAAGTATTACTATCTATCGTATTGACATACATCTTCAGCAGCTTGATTCTAATCGAACAGGGTGGGAGGAGCCTCAGCTACTATTAACAAGGTCACGGTCCACTTAGCGATCCACAAGCACTCGACATTAGCACCTCATTTGACGATTCCTAGGGTGGCTACTGGCAACCTTGCATAGCTGCTTTTTGTACTCCTGAATCCCATAGCCGGGACCGCCTACCTTGCCATTCAGCATAACATCTTACGCCCGTTGCCGGCTGGCTTCGGCTTGCAACGTCAACCGGCACAGTGTTCTGACGGTGTCTCTTCCCTGCAAAAGCAAGAGTCGATTCGCTATGGGAACTTGAGTTTGGGCGATCGAAATATAAGAGCCGCGCTTTTGCAAACGATGCACAAAGCAATCTCAAATCTTCCTCTCGACTGGCTCACCTAAGACCTTTTGGTGCTTCTTTACCGTCACCAAAGTAACATCCGCAGCTGCGTAGTGATGGGTGAACGAAAGAGCCAACCGTCCTCGAAGAGCAACAGACATCGACCCAAGATGACTTCAACATCTAGCAGGTCGACCGCGACGCAGAATCCATCTTCCGGAGCCGCCAAGATTGTACGATGTCCGACACAGACTCTTGAAAGATTGCGGCGCCTGAACGAAGCAGAGATCATCACCCTGTTCACCCCCTTCGTACCTCATCCGCCATCGACGACGCTCGCGAAAGACATGGACCCTTTCGAGCCTCTCGGCCGTGCTCTACCAAGACAAGTACGACACGTCCCATACCGTCTCGACTCTGGCATGACAGAGATGCATGCCGATTTCCTGCCAACCAGCGGAGCAGTCATCGTCCTTATATGCGCCACCTCGAACGTCATCAGCAATCATGCGCAGGCTTTCGAACGGCAATTAAAATTTGCACGGAGCCTCTCGAAGAAGATACCGAAAAGCGATACTATACCAGGACTTCCAATGATCCTAATTCTCATCGATGATGGCGCTATGGGCCAGTCCTATGTCAACGCGGCATACGACTTTCCAGCACTTGTCACTGTCAACGACTACACTACCGCAGCACTCGTGAATGCGGTACATGTCCTATTCGGCAACTGAAATTCCCATCCTTTCCGTACGACATCATCTGGCAGTCCCTTTTTCAGCGCAATAAACAAATATCGTTATTGTTGGCTCGGAAGCGCGGTTCAAACGAAATAGTTGATCTACCTTTCGATTCAATACGTTCAACTCCACAACACGGCGTTGCTGCAACGATGGATGATATACAGCCTCAAACCTGCAACGTATCGCTCATTCTTATTTATCACCGTTTCCATACGTTACACACTATGTATACATAGCATTCCCGGTGGCGCGACGTCGATTCAACTACTCCATTATCGTCCGTGGATAGGTCTTGTCTGTTCGGAGGCAGTTCTTCTGGTATATCTAGTTCGCAATATATCAATACATCAACTTATTCTCTTTAACTGTCGTTAAAGCCCGGACGACGAAAGCTCGTTACACGGATGCGCCCAGAAACCAAGGCTACATTGATCAGCACGGGTAATAGCAGAGACGAATATCAACAACGGATATATACTGGCGCCATCTTAATAGCTATGATACGATACCGCAAGGATAACCAAGCTCTAAGGATAAGGATGTGTTGGGGTGCTTCGGCGCCAAATCACACAACACCACGGCGCACGGTGCACCGTAACATGTTGCTAACATATTGGGAATACGTTGGGATCGATTCAGAACCAATCCAAATTGTTCGCCGAACATCAAACTTCCAGCTCTATGGATTTGGGCTCGAATGTAGTCTCGCATATATGGACAAAGCAGCAGTGTTCATGCTCGCTATGCTATCCGCCTCGCTCTTATTCTCAACCTTATCCTCAACCTTATACTCAACCTTATACTCAACCTTGCCAAGACTTGATCTGAAGTAGGCTGCAGAGATGCCTGGAGCCTTCATCCTCCACGACATCATCATCAGAGCCTGCCCTATCGACTCCCGTCCAAAAACAGCAATTGACATGAAGTTGGTGTAAAGCCGGTAAATGCCGAGTCTTTACTGAGACTTTACTGAGTTTTTACTGAGTCTTTACTCAGTCTTTACCCAGTCTTTACCAGCGCTAACCCAAAACTTCTCGCCCCATATGCCCAACACACAATCCGCGAGGCAGTGAACCCATGGCATTGTGGCATGTCAACACCACGTATCCAATCTGTCGACTTTCTAATAGCTTTCTGAAAGCTTTCGAATTGCAATCTCATGTTCCCGGGCGACCTCGGCTGTCCGTCGCTTCGCAAATGAAGTTCTTGAAGCTCGGCTCTCCCGAACCTGGTCTGATACGTTGAGCTGACCTTCGATCTGGGCTCGGCTGACCTCCGCAGTTAGCTCGGCTGACCTCGAGAATACCTCCGAGCGATGTTGAGCTGTCCCTCGCTTGAAGCTCAGCTGTCTCTCGCTTCGCATACAAGTGTGGTTTTCTTCGGCTGACCTTCAAAAATCCCCCGACTTCGTGTTCACCGTCTTTCATCTCATTTCACCTCATCTCAGCCCAACCCATCACAACCTCAACGCATCGCATCTCGTCGTCATCACAACATGGACGATGAATATGAGCAGCAGCGCCAGCAATTGGGCAAAATGGGTCTTCTAGACATAATCGAGCAGCGCGAGAAAGAAGGTAAGCCCCGCCTCCCCGTTCCACACCTCCGATACTAACATCCTCGTCTCCAAGACCGAGTAGCGATGGAAGAATACAACGCCGCCCGCAACACCGATCGAACAGCGGGCGAGCGCCCTGCACCCGACACCAATGCCCAGCCGCCCCAACCCGGATTCAATCCAAACAACTACGGTATGATAATGCCGTTCGACGTATCCGAGAACCTCATCACCGGCTGCAACATCTGCCCCCAACAAACCGGCCTCAGCCGCTGCAGTGCCTGCAAAGTAGTCCACTACTGCAGTCCTGAACACCAACGCGCCGACCGCCCCGCACACAAAGTCTGGTGCAAATCCATCAAAAAGATCACATTCGTCCTCGACAAAGACGAAGCCGCCCTCCGAGCCCACAAGGGCGATATGGATACACCACCCAACGCCTTCGAAACAGCCGTCGGCGACTTCTGGCGTTACAGCGGAACGAGGAATTACATGCGATCCCGCAATGAGCTCTTAAGAGAACTGCCTAGGTTGAACACCAAAGCCGCTGTGGAAGCTGCACTGGAACACGCGCTTGGGCTGATGCGGTTGAATCTGCAGGATCCGATGTGTGTGAGGAGTATCACGCCGGCGTTGATGCTTCGCTTGGGACGGGATCAAGAAGCCTATGATTTCTGTAAGTGGTGGGTTACTAAGGGGAGTAGTTTGAGTTGTGACTGGAAGAATGTTAGGCAGCTGCCGCATGAGATGAGTAGTGGTGGGGATGCGTGGGAGAATGTAGAAGTGTTTGAACGGGTTAAGAATTTTGGTGATGGGGGTGGGGATCACTTCGCCGTGCCCATTTTCTCTGATTTGTCGCATCTTGTTGCGGTTACGCTGGTCAAGGTACGCATGCTTATCGATACATTCATACTCACCGAAGGCATTCAACCACAGCGCTTTAGCGAATTGAACACCAGCAGCATTGTGTTGCGCGACAACATAAGAGCAGGAGATATTGGAGAGGTTGAGATCGTGTTCGAGGAAATGAAAGACCAGGTCAAGCGATTGTACCACGCAGTACACAGAGTCAACAAGCACTTTTGGCCTCGAGTGGTAGAGCCCCGGGCCCATCTACTGATGAATCCCCTTAACATCGGTATGGGCGAGGAGACGGAGATGCATTTGGTCTTGCCGGAGTACTACTGTGCATGGAGTGAGACACCAGGCGCGATTGAGGTTATCGAGGATATACTAGAGGGTCGCGAGATTACCTTTTCACGCTCGACCGGAAGGGGGCTTTTTAAGAAATAGTCGGTGCAAGGAAAGTACCTAGATGAGAGTACACAACGCGGACGGACGACAGGGTCGTCGCACGGATACGTTTGTGGAGACGGAGAGCTCGGTTTCCCTTGTTAGGGAGTTGTTGGAGATGAATGATGATGCTGAGAGATGGGTGAGTGCGTGGAGACCCCGCGAGTTTGAAGTTGAGCGTGCTAAAGCATTGGCCGAGATAGATGGTCTTACTCGATGAAGATGCTTGAGTTCTTAGATAGTTGATCCTGGAGATATTTTTGGAGATATGCGAACGTTATCGGCCTAAAAGACGCCACTTGGGATAGATACAATTCGTGTCGCATTCCACAAATTGATTATCAAGCTAGACGTAAACATTGCTCTTGAGACTGACTGGATGTTAGGTTTCAATAGCATGTATGCAACACATGCTGTAGTCACCACGTTAACCTAAGGGAAAAGCTGAACAGGTATGCGCCTACATTAACTTAGAAACGTGCAAAGTAGTTATTTCAACTTCGATGTAGGCTCTAGGCCTCTCCAGGTTTTTTATTGTAGAAGGTGGCACGGATGCGTCGAGGAACCATAGCGACCAGCGCCTCAACAACGCGGCTTATAGAGACGAACGTCAACAACTCAGGTATGCCAGGGCAACATCCTAACAGCTGCGAAGGTGCGCCGCAAGAATCACCGAGCGTTGGGGTTGGGACGAGGCAGGGCCAGACTTGGGCCTCGGACACTAATGTCGGGACGTGAAGATGCGTGGGTCTTCCTAGCGGGAATGACTCGCGGCGGCGGATGTTGTTTTGTAGTTGTTGACGAACAGCAGCTCAATGATCCATAGGAATGCATTGAGAGGCTGTGTAGAGTCGCATGAATTGAAGTAAGTGCGAACATAGATTCCAGTGAATATAACGCTGAATCCTTCGTGTGAAGCGTGCTGGGCTGAAAGCGGAGCTGCAGCTATGACGCTCGCGGGACGCGAAACACGTGCGCCCAAAGTTCCTGGGCATTGGCTGCGCGCAGCTCCCCACCAGCTAAACCCAGCTGCATTGCTTCATTCCCAATCCTCCCATGCAGAGCTTTCCGGCGCCGGCAATTCTTATATCCTGACTATTGCTACTGCGCGTCGCGACTGCTGGAGCTTCCATTTCCTGCAATCAACTACACTCGCTCGCTAAGCCATGAAGTTCGGCACGACACTGCGCAAGAGCGTGTATGCGCCGTGGAAGGACAAGTACATCGACTACGACAAGCTCAAGAAGCTGCTCAAGGATAACGAGGATGACGATTCCTGGACCGCCGACGACGAGAGCGCGTTTGTTGACGAGCTGGCCAATGTGCAGTTGGAGAAGGTGCACAACTTCATCACGGACATCTCGCAGAAGCTGCGCGACCGCACGACGGCATGCGAAAAGAAGCTGGAGCCATTGGCCATAGGCATCCAGGCGGAGGGCAAGGAAGAGGCCAAGGACGGCCAGGAGAAGAAGGAGAGCAGTGGTGAGGGCTTGTTCGGCGACGCGTCGGGCGATGCGTCCAAGAAACCCGAGCCCAGCCAGCAGGAGAGGGACAAGATCCTCAAGGAAGTCCTGCGCGAGCTCGACAACATCACCAAGGAGACCAAGGAGCTCGAGAGCTTCAGCCGCATCAACTTCACCGCCGTCATCAAGGCCACCAAGAAGCACGACAAGATCCGCGGCAGCTCCTACCGCCTGCGGCCCTTTATCGATGCGCGCATTGCCCGCCACCCGCTGCACACCGAAGATGCCTCGCCGCTGCTGTACAGGCTGTCGGCGCTGTACTCGTTCGTCCGACAGAGCCTGGAGGGCAAGTCCAAGGAGGCTTTGTCCTTTGGCGAGACCAGCACGGATGGCGAGGGCTTCACCTCGCACAAGTGTAGGCACACCATACATCATTGGCAAATATAAGCTAACACACACAGTCTGGGTCCACATGGACAACCTATTCGAAGTCAAGACCGTCATCCTCCGCCGTCTCCCCGTCCTCGTCTACAACCCCATGTCGTCTAAGGTCGCCGAGGGCACCCAGCGCGACCCTACCATCACGTCCATCTACTTTGACAACCCCAACTTCTCCCTCTACTCGGACAAGGTCAACGGCAAGCCCGATGCCTCGTCCCTGCGCCTCAGATGGTACGGCCAACTTGGCGAGAAGCCTGAGATCATGTTCGAAAAGAAGGTCATCAAGGACGGTAACGCGGCCGAAGAAGTCCGCTTCCCGATCAAGGCCAAATACGTGCAGTCTTTCCTCGAAGACAAGTACCACATGGAGAAGAGCATCGAGAAGATGGAATACCGCCCCAACAAGAACCAGGAGGAGGTGGACAACTTCAAGAAGGCCGTAACAGACATCCAGAGCTTTGTCAAGGAGCAGAAGCTGCAGCCGATGCTGCGCGCCAACTACACCCGTACTGCGTTCCAGATCCCCGGCGACAACCGCGTGCGCATCTCTCTAGACACCAACCTCGCCCTGATCCGCGAAGACGCCCTGGACGACGACAGACCCTGCCGCGACCCGGAAGACTGGCACAGACGCGACATCGACAACGGGCAGATGGAGTTCCCCTTCAAGGCGCTCAAGAAGGGCGAGCTCCACAAGTTCCCCTACGCCCTTCTCGAGATCAAAGTTAAGGGCCTGAAGAAGTACGAATGGATCGAAGACCTGATGCACTCGCACCTGGTCAAAGAATCCCCCCGCTTCTCCAAGTTCGTCCACGGCGTCGCCAAGCTCTTCGAAGACAACGTAAACACCTTCCCCTTCTGGCTCAGCGAAGTCGACAACGACATCCGCAAAGAACCCGAAGCCGCCTTTGACCAAGAACAGGAAAAGAAGCGCAAAGCAGCCGAGGACGAATTCGCAGTCGGCTCCCTCTTCGGCGCGCGCGCAAGCCCCAGCTACCGCGCTTCCATCGCCTCGCCCGTCGGCTCACCAGCCGCAACGCGGTCGTCCGTCCCCAAGAGCGCCTCCGCAGCCGCCCACTCCATGCCCGTCACCAAACCCCCCTTCCCCACAATCGGATCCCACCTCTCCCAGCGCTCGCACCGCGACACCGACACCGCCAACACGCGCATAAACGAAGAACCCGATTCCGACGACGAAAACACCCTCCTCCTCGCCGGTGGTTCCAACGGAAAACAGCCCAAGAGCAGCAGCAGCGGTCTCGCCTCCCTCTTCCCCTCCTTCTCCACCTCAAAATACGCGCGCAAACAACAACGCGCCATCCAACTCCCGCCCGGCATCCGCGACCCAGGCGTCTGGATCAAAGACCAGGGTCCCGTGCGTGTAGAAGCCAAAGTCTGGCTCGCGAACCAACGTACGTTTATCAAGTGGCAGCACGTTAGCGTCCTGCTCGCCTCGTTGTCACTGGGGTTGTATAATGCGGCTGGTGAGGCCAATGATATCGCACGCGCGCTTGCGGTCGTGTATACGTGCATTGCGGCTTTTACGCTTGCGTGGGGGTATGCGATGTATATTTACCGCGCGAGGTTGATTCGGGAGAGGAGTGGGAAGGACTTTGATGCTGTTACGGGGCCGTTGGTTGTTTGTGTGGGGTTGGCGGTGGCGTTGTGCTTGAATTTTGGGTTTAAGGTATGTTGGTTCTTTCCCTTCCCTTCCCTCATTCATCTATCGGGATTATGATGTGTAGACAGGACATTTGAGATGGCATTGCTAACGTATGATGACAGTACAACGCCCTCGTCAAGGAAAGACAACACCATCTCCACCACCATCACGGCGCTGGTAGTGTTGTTAATTCTAGTTTTGGGGCTGAGCAGATGGAACTTAGGGTGTAAGAACGCGTTCGTTTAGTCATGGTGTTTGTTTGAAGGAAGAGAAAAGGGGAACTTGGGTTGCCTTGAGTTAAGTTGGGCGTCGCTGCGTGTATCTTTGTACAACATCAGATGAAAGTAATAGTGATGATACGACTTGTTGAATGGTACATCGTTCTTCATCTTTGTTATTTGTGACTTGAGACTCGTGAATTGTAGTTCAAAAGGCTCTACATGGCACAGTGTAAGTGTGTATTGCAAGGCGTCAGCCGGTATGCAGATTGGATGGAGAACGGGGTACATGTCAGCGCTATTGTGATCTAGTCTTCACGTGAGGAGATACGGGTTGTACGGGGTTGGTGACTGGGTATGTCAGGTCGGTCGTTGTGTAACATTGTGATATGATCATCACGGATGCGCTAGAAAATAAAGATAACTTGTTAAACTTGATCAATATGGATAAGATGTTTTGTGTAATAGATTGATTTTCTTAGTAAAGATGATTGCAGGAGATGCGCCATAATCTCGTTATATGGAAGTGTGATTATGTGATGTTGTGATAAATACGGGTTTTACATGAACTTCGCGTGTGAGGATTCTATGTGATGGTAGAGAAGAAGGACGTGTGTTTTGTATACTGTTTTCGCTACGCTAGGTGGATGTATACGGTAGCTAAGACATCATCTGTTGATCCAGGATGTGATGGCTGTGCGTATGCGGCAGAGCTACATGCTGCATGCTACTGGTCATGTTCTGGTGTTGTCACATCCGCGCTTCGCAGAAGAGGAGACCCTGCGGAGGAGATCACACAAGTCTGCCTCATCTCGTTTCTCTTGCACGGTTGCTAAACATAGCGATGGATCAACAGTTCCTCAGTTGGTGGAGTTGGTGGTAAGAAGGGATGCCTCAAAAGGCGACCCTCGTTGTACTCCACAGCCCACCTCCAACAAATACGTGCGACGAGCATGCAACAAGCGCCTCGTGCTCGTGGGACAAAAATCTCCACTGCTTTCTTGTTGTTGTGTGCAACAGGTGTTGTGCCGTCTATTAATATTCAGCGAGAAGAAGCATCGAACAGAGGCATGGGCGAAAAGTGGTGGTGGCTGGTGCGGCGGTGATGGGGCTGGTAGCTGGCGCGGGTGCATTAGTTTTGTGTTTCGCTGCTCAAGCTTTGTGGCTGGTGCTTCCGTTGGACTGGAACCAGGATGCTGAGTGCTTGACACGTCG